ATATTTGCCACAAGGCTTCATTATAGCAGGTTGGCAACAATGGACAAAATATTCTTCAGGTAATTTTACTATAGGTGTCGGACCATAATCAATCGCTATATATAATATTTAATAATGAAATATCGGTTATAAGGTTTTTACATAAACTCGAATTGTTGTTAAGGAAAATCCAATATTTGTTTCGAATTTAATGGCGATAACTGGCACAAGGCTTCATTTCAGAAGGTCGGTATCAATGGAAAAAGTATTCTCCATAAAATTTAGCTTAAAATCACCCACAAGAGGAAATTGGTATATATAATATTTGACGATGAAATATGGGTTACAAATTGTGTACATAAAAGAAAATAATTTTAGTAATAAATTTAATTTGTGTTTCGAATAAACTGGCAATAATTGCCACAAGGCTTCATTTAGGAGGTTGATATCAATGGAATATTCTCCAGGAAATTTTATTATACTTCTAAGACAAAAAGAAATCGTTATATATAATATATTATATAGAAATATCAGCTACAAATTGTGTACATATACGAAAATAATATTTGAGGTAAAAATTATGTTATTTCGAAATCAATGGACAAAATATTCCCCCGTTTATTTTACTATAGGTCACCGACAAAACAAAATCCCCATATATAATATTTGATGATGATGAAATATCGGTTATAAACTGCGTACATAAAAGAAAATAATTTTTGTAAGAAATTATATATATGCTTCGAATTAAATGACCATAAATGCCACAAGCCTTTATTTTTGGAGATAGCTATCAATGGACAAAATATTCTCCAGGAAATTTCACTATATGTCTTTGACTAAATCACATCGGTATATATAATATTCAATATAGAAATATCGGTGATAAGTTGTATATATAAACGAAAATATTTGTTAAGGTAAATCTCATATTGTTTCGAAATTAATGACAATATCTGCCACAAGGCTTCATTTTAGAAGGTTGATATAAATGGAAAAAATATTCTTGAGAAAATTTAACTATAGGCCAAGGACAACAAGAAATCGTTATATATAATAATTTATAATTTCTGTGATAAATCGTATATATTTTTTTTCGAAGTTACGGTCATAACTGCCACTAGGCTCCATTTTAGGCGCTTGGTATCAATGGAAAAAATATTCTCCCGAAAATTTCAGTATAGGTCTCGGACTAAAAGAAATCGGTATATAGAATATAAATGTTTTTGCTGTTCAGTGTTTTAAGTAGCTACTCGTGTTTGTTGTTAACAAAAAAAAAAAAATAATAATTAAATATTGACTTTTGTGAGACACAATACGAGTAATGCCTAGTCTGTTTCTGCTTAAATGATACGTATATATAAGTGTTATTTATATATCCGTACCTTTAAAGCAGAATGAGGCTAGGCATTATTGTGTCTCACTTAGGCGTGTACAAATCAAACCAGACAATAAAATATTTTGATTTAAAAAATGTTTTTATACCTCAATATATAGGGTACACGTGAATAATTGTTCATTCGTTCCGAATGTGGTTATTAACCTACAATCAAAAAAATTGTTTAAAAAAATAATCTGCTTCACACCAAAAATGTAAATAATTGCACAAATTTTATCAGTCATTAAGTGAACAAATTATGGCTAACAAAAATGTTGTTTAGATTGCTAAGTGTCTGGTATTTTAGATTGCATTTAACGAAGACGATATATATATATAGTCTTTTTGTTAAAAAATATTTTTATAATTTTTTGTGATATATAGATTATACCTTTTTTGTGTTCCATGACCTATAGTGAAATTATATTAAGAATATTATTTCTATTGATAACAAATCGTTAAAATCGGACCAATATTGTAAAATCTTACGAAAACTTTAAAGAAGAAAATAGGGCTAACAATTTGTAATCGATATTTTATGAAATTAAACTATATATACTGATTTCTTTTCTTCGGTAACCTATAGTAAAATTTGATGGATAATATTTCTTACATTGTTATTAATCTCCTACAATGAAGCCTTGTGACAAAAATTGCCATGAAATTCGAACAAATGTACAATTAATCTCAAATTATTATTTTCTTTTTTGTGCACAATACCGATTTCTTTTGGTCGGCGACCTATAGTGAAATTTTCTGGACAATATTTCCTCTCCTGATAACAATCGCCTTAAATGAAGCCTTGAGGCAGATATTGTCATTAACTTCGAAAAAATAAAACATTTTCTTCAATAATAATTATCGTTTATGTGCACAATTTGCAACCGATATTTCGTAGTCAAATATAATATTTACTGATATCTTTTGGTCGGGGACCTATTGTGAAATTTCCTGGAGAATATTTCTTCCATTGATACCAACCTCCTACAATGAAGCCTTGTGGCAAAAATTGCCATGAAATTCGAACATATGTACGATTTACCTCAAATTATTATTTTCTTTTATGTACACAAATTGTTATCGATTTTTCATTGTAAAATATTATAAACACCGATTTCTATTGGTCGACGACCTATAGTGAAATTTTCTGGAGAATATTTCTTCCATTGCAAATAACCTCCTAAAATAAAACCTTGTGGCAGATATTGGCAATAGATTCGAAGAAACTCAGGATTAACCCTAAAAATTTTTTTTAGGGTAAACCGATATTTTATTTGTTTTGTAACCGATATTTTATCCTTAAATATTATATATAACGATTTCCTTTGGTCGGCGACATATAATAGAATTTTCTGGGGAATATTTTCTTTATTGATAGCTACCTCCTTAAATGAAGTCTTGTGGCAGATATTGTCATTACATTCGAACAAACATATGATTTACATCAAAAATTATTTTTGTTTATGTTCGCAATTTTTAACCGATTTATCCATATTAAATATGATCTGTATCGATTTCTTTTGGTCGGCGACCTATTGTGAAATTTCTTGGAGAATATTTCTTCCATTGATACCAACCTCTTACATTAAAGCCTTGTGGCAAATATTGCCATGAAATTCGAAGAAATGTACGATTTACCTCAAATTATAATTTTCTTTTTTGGACACAATTTGTAAACGATAGTTCATCGTTAATTGTTATATATACCTATATCTTATGTACAGTAACCCATAGTGAAATTTCCTAGAGGACATTTCTTCCATTGATACCGACTTCCTTAAATGATGCCTTGTGGCAGTTATTGCCATTAATTCAGAAGATAAGCTAAATCTATTAACTACAATTATTGTTTGCTTTTTATCTAACTTCTAACCGATATATTATCGTAAAATATTATATATACCGATTTCTTTTGTTTGATGACCCATAGTGAAATTCGATGGAGAATAAATTTTCCATTGACACCAATCCCCTGATATGGACTATTGTGGAAGATTTTGTCCCATATTTAAATGAAGCACTTTGAAGTAGTTTATTCTGCTAAACCTAATTAGAAGTGACTTTTTAAGTGGTATATACTTGATATAGTTTTTTAGTTTCTTCGGTGACCTATACGGATATTTTCTGAGGAATTTTTTTTCCATTGGGAGTTACCTTGTAAAATGTAGTATTATGGAACTTATTGGCTTTAATTGCGATCAACTAAGAAATTCAACAACACATAATGGTCGTTCTTTAAATATAGAATTTGTAACCGACATATGATTATTAAATATTATATATACCGATTTTAACTGGTGTGTGACCTATAGTGAAATTTTATGGAGAATATTTTTTCCATTACGAGTAATCGCATTGAATGCATCCTAGTGGGAGATATTGACCTTGATTCCCAAATAGTGTGAATTTTACTTAATAAAATGTTTTTATTTTCTTTACTCAATTTGTAACCGATATTTTGTCATGAAATATTATATATACCGATTTCTGTTGTTCGGTAACCTATAGTGGAATTTTCTGGAGAATATATTTTCCATGGATATCAAGTGCCTAAACCTAAGAGTTGGTTTCGAATTTGACCCAAAATGAAAAAAATGCTCTAAAATTTCCCAAAAAAGAAAAATATAAATTTTTCTTGCGAGACCCCATGTTTAACTGATAATTTATCGATAAATATCGAATTTAGAGATGTTATTGGTTCGGTCACCCATAACGAAATTTTATGGGGAATATTTTTTTATTGGGAGTAATTCCATAAAATGCATTCTAGTAGGAGATATTGTCTTTGATTCCGAACAAGGGTGATTTTTACTTAATAAAACACATTATTGTTTATATATCCTCTTTGGAACCAACATTTCAGCGTTAACAATTATATATACCGATTTCATCTTTTCGGTGACCTGTATTGAAATTTTCTGAAGAATATTTTTTCCATTAACATCAACTTCCTAAACCTAAGATTTGGGTTCGATTTTGGCCTATAATGAAAAGTTTTTGAAATTTTCCAAAAAGAAAAGATTTTTTCATAAGAACCTAAGTTTAAACGATATTCTACCGATAAATATCGAATTTAGAGATTTCATTTGTTCGGTGACCCATAGTGAAATTTTATGGAGAATAATTTCTTCATTGGCATCATGCACCTAAAATCAAGTTAAATACGAAATTTGACCACCATAAAATTGTAACCAAAAATCTTTAAATATCCTTTTTGTAGAAACCTTTATCCTACACCCTTTAACAAGCTTAAAAATTCCGCACATTTTATTATGATTACATTTTAATTATTTGTTTATGTTTTTTTATAATTTTTTTTTGGGAATCCATTTCCCGAAATTCTGGTTTTTACTTTCATTTTTGTTTGTCTTCGCCCATTAACAGAAAACATCAGTCATTTTTTGTTTTGCAAGGAAGGATTGTTGACATCTCTAACCGGTTCCATAAAGAATTATTCTTATGGTTTCATTGTGCCGGCCATTCGAATTGGAAAAAACCCCCAACCGTTATTGAACTTGAAACTAGTACAAGCTACTACTACCACTTCGATTTGGAGGAGGACAGCTTAGTTGGTTATTCCCACTTGTTGGCCTAGAATATGAGTCATCGTTACAATTCTTGGAGGGGCCGGTATCTGAGGTTGATGTCTATGCTGCTATTGATGCTGCTGCAGCTTATGGGAGCTGTCAGAGATGTACATGCCCATCAACGAAGGCAGAGTGAGAAACCGAATATTGTAATAATTCTTATTGATGATATGGTAAGTAGAGTAGATTTTTCTAAAAATTATTTCTAGGGGTCTAACAGAAGACGTGGATTTCTTAAACAAATATTTTAAGGGGTCTACCAATATTTTTAGGGGTATATCAGAAGGCGTGAATTTTTTAAAAAATATTTTTAAGGGTCTACCAATATTTTTAGGGATCTACCAGAAGGCCTGGATTTTTTAAAAAATATTTTTGAATTTTTCTAGGGCTTCAATGATGTCAGCTTCCATGGTTCCGATCAGTTTCTAACACCCAACATTGATGCCCTGGCCTATAATGGCATCATACTCAATAAACACTATGTACCGAGTTTGTGTACCCCCTCCAGAGCTTCACTTTTGACGGGGAAATATCCCATACACACGGGTAAGTAAATTCCGAATTAATTTTTGACTCCAAAAAAAAAAAAAAATAAATAAATAAAAATTTCGGTCCCTCCCCACTCTCAGGCACCCAACACTTTGTCATCATCAATGACGAACCCTGGGGTTTACCACTTGACGAACATTTGATGCCCGAGATATTTCGCGATGCTGGCTATTCTACAAATTTGGTGGGTAAATGGCATTTGGGTTTCTATGATCGGGAAATGACACCGCTGTATCGAGGTTTTGATCATCACTACGGGTATTATTCGGGTTATATTGGTTATTTTGATCACACAATGAAGATTGTGGTAAGTTAAAACCCATTACACCCTAACGTCTGGAAAATTAAAAATAGGTGTCCCTTTTCAGCAAAGAAATATTTCCGGTCTGGATTTGCGCAATGATTTGGACCCTATGCCTGAGGTAAATGGTATCTATGCCACAGATCTATTTACCCAAGAAGCTGTTCGTATAATCGATGAACATGATACAGATCGCCCGCTGTTTTTGCTTATGAGTCATTTGGCTGTCCACACAGGGAATGAAGATAATCCCATGGAAGTATTGGAGGAGGATTTGGAGAAATTTCAATATATTTCGGATCCCAAGAGAAGGGCTTATGCAGGTAATTTTGGATTATTTTTAGGGATCTACATCTAGGCGTGGATTATTTAAAAACCCGTTTAGGGGTCTACATCTAGGCTTGGATTATTTAAAAACAATTTTAGGGGTCTACATCTAGGAGTGGATTATTTAAAAACACTTTTAGTGGTCTACATCTAGGCGGGGATTATTTAAAAACACTTTTTGGGGTCTACATTTAGGCGTGGATTATTTAAAAACACTTTTAAGGGTCTATATCTAGGCGTGGATTATTTAAAAACACTTTTAGGGGTCTACATCTAGGCGTGGATTATTTAAAAACACTTTTTGGGGTCTACATCTAGGCGTGGATTATTTAAAAACACTTTTAGGGGTCTACATCTAGGCGTGGATTATTTAAAAACATTTTTAGAGTCTACATCTAGGCGTGGATTATTTAAAAACCCGTTTAGGGGTCTACATCTAGGCGTGGAGTATTTAAAAATGTTTTTAGGGGTCTACATCTAGGCATGGATTATTTAAAAAACACTTTTAGGGGTCTACATCTAGGCGTGGATTATTTAAAAAACACTTTTAGGGGTCTACATCTAGGCGTGGATTATTTAAAAAACACTTTTAGGGGTCTACATCTAGGCGTGGATTATTTAAAAACACTTTTTGGGGTCTACATCTAGGCGTGGATTATTTAAAAACACTTTTAGGGGTCTACAGCTAGGCGTGGATTATTTAAAAACACTTTTAGGGTCCTACGCCTAGGCGTGGATTATTTAAAAACACTTTTAGGGTCCTACGCCTAGGCGTGGATTATTTAAAAACACTGTTAGGGGTCTACATCTAGGCGTGGATGGTTTAAAATTATCGCAATAGAATCACTGCAAATTAATCCACACAGTTGGCAACACGTTACACACAGCTGATACAAGCAATGAATGTAAAAACGCTTCAATCCATAAATATTTCACAAATATGCATAACTATAAGCCCCATTTGAGAATGCTGTATTACAGCTAGCGATTTGAATTGGTCGGTGGCCCATAGTAAAATTTAATAGAGAATATTTTTCTCATTAACATCCAGCCTCTAAAATGAAGAATTATGGCAGAAATGCCCAATAATACGAAAGAAAAGCTACGTTGAAGTTGATTCTTATATGAAGATATTGGGGCACACATTTTGTTGATATATATTCAAAATGCCGACTTCGTTTGTTCGGCGATCCATAGTGAAATTTAGTGGAGAATATTTTTCTCAACAACATCCAACCTCTAAAATGAAGAATTATGGCAGATATGACCAGTAATACAAAAGAAAATCTACGTCGAAGTAGATTCGTATATGAAGATATTTCGACCAACATTTTATTGGTATATATTCTAAATACCGATTTTATTTGTGCGGTGGCCTATAGTGAAATTTAATGGAGAATATTTTTCTCATTAACATCAAAGATCTAAAATGAAGAATTATGGCAGATATGACCAGTAATACAAAAGAAAAGCTACGTTGAAATAGCTCCTTATATGAAGATATTTGGACCCACATTTTGTTGATATATATTCTAAATACCGATTTCATTTGTTCAGTGACCCATAGTGAAATTTGATGGAGAATATTTTTCTCATTGACATCAAGGCCCAAAAATGTGGTCCTAAGTAAAATATTGTCAGATTTTGAAACGTACGAAGAAATTACAATATATTTTATTTTGTCATCGGGTTTAGAGATATTTTCTATATCATCTATTATATATTGTGACTTATTACGAAAGTAAAGATCTACTAAAATTTGAAGAAGAATATGTTTTTCATTAACATCGACCCTCTAGAATCAAAATCGGAGGGTAATATTGGCTAATTTTGCTAAACACTAGAGAAAAATTAAAATATTTTGTATTCAAACACTGTTACTTAAAGAACCAGTCTTTTTCTTTAGATAAAAACTATTATTTATCATATTTGTCATACGCCCATATATAAGAATCACTACAAAATAATCGTAAAGAGGTTGGCAACACCTCACATGAACTTAATGTAAACAATCAAATGTAAAAACGGCCTTTTTGATAGTTATTGAGCCAAATGCGATATTATATGCCATATTTTAAGGTATAATACTATAGTTACAGATTTCTTTTGTTCGGTGACCTATAGTGGAATTTTATGGAGAATATTTTTTCCATTGACATCAAGGTGCCAAAATGAGGTTCTAAGGGAAATACTTCGCAATTTTGAAACTCACGAACAAAACAAACAATATTTTATTTGCTCATATTGTCGAAGATGTTTTCTGTATTATATATTAGATATACAGATTTTTTCCTAACGTGGACCCATAGTGAAATTTTATGCGGAACATATTTTCCATTGACATCAAACTCCTAGGAGGTACATTTGACATTGAAATCAAGGCCCCAGAATGAGAACCTAAGGGAAATACTGTGCAATTTTGAAACACACGAACAAAACAAAAAATATTTTATTCGCTCACATTGTTTCCGATATTTTCTGGAAAATATGTTAGATATACCGATTTGTTCCTAACGTGGACCCCTAGTGAAATTTTATGAGGAACATATTTTCCATTGATATCAAACTCCTTGGAGGTACTTTTGTGGGAGATTTGACCAAAAAATTAAATGTAACACAAGGAACAAATTAATTCAAATAAAGCCAAGTTGGAACCGACTTTTTTCTGATATATATTATATATACCGATTTTTTTTGTTTGAGGACCTATAGTGAAATTCGATGGAGAATATATTTTCCATTGACATCAAGAAATAGTGTTCCGAGGAAGATATTGTCATGTTATGAAACATACTAAAGAAAATTAAAAATATTTTTTTGTACTTACATTGTTTCCGATCTTTTCGGATTATATATAATATATACCGATTTTTTCTTAAAGTGGACCCCTAATGAAATTTGATGGAGAATATATTTTCCATTGACATCGAATACCTAGATGATAGTTTTGTGGGAGATTTGGTCCAAAAATCGAATGTAACATAAAGAAAAAAATGTTCCTATATATGCAAGTTGGAACCGATTTTTTTCTGATATATATTATATATACTGATTTCATTTGTTCGTTGACCTATAGTGAAATTCGATGGATAATCGTTTTTCCTTTGGCTACAATCCTCTAAAATAAATTTTCAAGGGAGATATGGTCAATTATTGAAACATACGGCAACAAAAGAAAAAATATTTTAATGACGCACATTGTTTCCCATATTTTCGGAATATATATCATTGATGCCGATTTAACTTGTTCGGTAACCCATAGTGAAATTTGATGGAAAATATATTTTCCTTTAACATTAATCCGCTAGAATGAAGTTTCGAGGGACATATTGTTAGATTTTGAAGCCTACTGAACAAATATCGTTTTTTGCCCTTTTTTCCAGCCATGGTTTCCCGTTTGGATCAAAGTGTGGGCCAGACTGTAACCGCTCTCAAGGACAAGGGTATATTGAATAACACGATAATTCTCCTGTATTCCGATAATGGTGCCCCTACGGTGGGTATTCACTCAAATTCTGGTTCCAATTATCCATTTAGGGGGGTGAGTACGAGCATTTTTAATTTCATTATTTATTTCGGAACTTATTTTTTCTTGCTTCTTTTAGCAAAAAGAATCACCCTGGGAGGGTGGTGTACGTTCCGCCGGTGCCATATGGAGTCCCATGCTGAGGAGGAAAAATTATGTCTCAAATCAAGTGGCCCATGCCATAGATTGGTTACCCACCTTGGCCGCGGCAGCTGGCGTAGCCGTACCAAAACATCTGCAATTGGATGGGGTGAATCTATGGCCCTCACTGAGCGAAGCCTTGGATCCTCAACCTCGCAGCTTAATTCACGTTTTGGATACCATATTCGGCTATAGTTCATATATGCGTGGCAATTTAAAGTATGTTAATGGTTCCTCATTTGCCGGGCAATATGATACCTGGCTGGGTGATATTGACTTCAATGAAATCCACCCGTTGGCAAAGACCTATGCTCAAGAGGTGTTATCGTCACCGGTACATAAGGCTCTGGGAAGTACGCAACTTGGTGTAGACCTCATTAATAGATTACGGAGAGAGGCAACTCATACTTGTCCCACGAACTCCGAAGATTATGAACAGGAAATTTATAAATGTGAACCCTTGCGGGCGCCATGTTTCTTTAATTTGGAGAAGGATCCCTGCGAACGTTATAATTTGGCAAATCTTTATCCTCTGCAAGTGCAATTCCTTTCCCAAGAAGTTAAGGTACTGAAACGTCAAGCACGTACCTCGGCTAGGGTACCATATTCCGATCCTCTTTCAAATCCGGAGCGTTTTGGTGGTGTCTGGCAATGGTGGAAGGGTACCGAAAATTATGGCTATGTGGAGTCTAAAGGCATTTCCCTGGGGAAGTGGGATGGTGGTCAGATGCAGATTTTAGGGTTAAGTTTTCTATCAATTTTCTTGAATTTTATTGGAAATTATTTATTTTAATTTTCTTTTGTACAAAATGTAATTATTTTTCTTTTAGTTTGTAGACTGTTTGAGGGACAGTATTTAAATCGGCATAAGACTCTTGGAGGCATACCTCAATTAAATTATTGAAACAATAAAAAAGTATCTAAGAAAAAATTAAATTTTATTTAATTCGCAAAGGAAAATGGCGCCCAACGTTTTTATAAAAATTATTTTTAAGGCTCTAACACAAGGCGTGGATTTTTTTAAGGCTCTACCAGAAGGCGTGGATTTTTTTAAGGCTCTACCAAAAGACGTGGATTTTTTAAGGCTCTACCAGAAGGCGTGGATTTTTTAAGAATTATTTTTAAGGCTCTACCAGAAGGCGTGGATTTTTTAAGAATTATTTTTAAGGCTCTACCAGAAAGCGTGGATTTTTTAAAAATTATTTTTAAGGCTCTACCAGAAGGCGTGGATTTTTTAAAAATTATTTTTAAGGCTCTACCAGAAGGCGTGGATTTTTTAAAAATTATTTTTAAGGCTCTACCAGAAGGCGTGGATTTTTTAAAAATTATTTTTAAGGCTCTACCAGAAGGCGTGGATTTTTTAAAAATTATTTTTAAGGCTCTACCAGAAGGCGTGGATTTTTTAAAAAAAATTTTCCGAAGCAATGATACAAAATATTTGTAGAAGGTGTGGTGAATTGAATTTGGATAATTTGTTGTTGGCAATGCTGTTGTTTCTGGTATTTGCAATGGGTTAGTGTCTGTGCTAAGCCACCTGTGGCCATTGTGTGTGATTTCACCTCTCTAACCATAGATAAAAACGTGTTACCAGATGTTGCCCATTAAATGTAATTTTTCGGGGAATATATTTTTAAGGGACTATCAGAGCCATACTATATGGGTTTTTTTAAATTATATATTTAAAAAATGTCGGAACTATAAATGTGGATACTTTTCCGAGACTTTCACTTTCGAGTTTTGGTGGAAAATATACGAATGATTTTCAAAAAATGGCAAAATATCACAAAACAACTTATTTTAGAAGCTTGATGTCAATAGGAAAAATATTCTGCATCGAATTTCACTATAGGCCACCGAACAAACGATATCGGTATGTATTGTATATAACCTGAAAATATCGGAAACAATTTGAGTAAATAAAATAATTTTGTTTTTTGACAGTTAGTTTCAAAATTTGACAATATATCCCCCGGAACTTCATCCTAGGTGCTAGATTTCAATACAAAAACTATTATCCATCAAATTTCACTATAGGTCACCGAACAAACGAAATCGGTATGTATTATCCATAAGCCTAAAATATCGGAAACAATTTGAGTACCTACAATATTTTCGATATTTCACAGTAAGTTTCAAAATTTGACAATATGTCCATCGGAACTTTATTTTTTAAGGATTTGTGGCAATGGAAAAAATATTCTCCATCAAATTTCATTATGAGTCCACATTAACAAAAAGTCGGAATTTATAATAGGCGATGTAGAAAATGTATGCGCAATATGAGAATATGATTATTTTTTAATTTTTTTTCGAAGGTTTCAAAATCTGGCATTATGAGCTTCAGCACTGCATTTTTGGGCCCTCATGAAAATGGCAAAAATTTTCGGCATAAAATTTCATTATAGGTCTCCGAACAAACGAAATCGGTATGTATTATCCATAAGCCTAAAAAGGCGGAAACAATTTGAGTACCTACAATATTTTCGATAAATCACAGTAAGTTTCAAAATTTGACAATATGTCCATCCGAACTTTACTTTAGAGGATTAAAGTCAATGGAAAAGATATTCTCACAAAATTTCATTATGAGTCCACATTAACATAAAATCGTAATTTATAATAGGCAATGCAGAAAATGTATGCGGAATTTGAGAAAGTAATTATTTATTTCTTTCATTTTGTTCGGAAGGTTTTAAAATCCGACAATATGTGCCCCAACATCAGTTTTGGGGCCTTGATGTTAATGGCAAAAATGTTCGGCATAAAATTGCACTATAGGTGACCGAACAAAAGAAGTCGGCATGTATTATAAATAATCGTAAATACTACTATATATTTAAGTATATAAAATATTGTTGATATTTCACACTATGTTTCCAAATTTTACAATATGTCCATCGAAACTTCATTCTAGAGCATTAATGTCAATGAAAATTAGAATCTTCATCGAATTTCACTATAGGTCTGCGAACAAATAAAATTTATAAATATAATATTTAACAATAAAAAATCGGTTCCAAATTGCGTATATTGGAGTAAACTTCTCTATTGTGTTTATATTTATTTTTTGGTCCAATCTCCCACAAAAGTCAGTTCTAGAGGGTTGGTTTCAATGGAAAATATATTCTCCATAAAATGTTACGGCAGGTCCAGCTTAAGAATAAAACTGTAAATACAATCGATTTTGCAGAAAATGTCTCTACAAATATGATAACAATAAAATACGTATTATTATTTTTTTTGTGCATGTTTAAATTGGACCATATTTGCCTAAGGTCCTAATTTTAGAGCCTCAACATTAATGGAAAAAATATTCTTCATCAAATTTCACTATAGGTCACCGAACAAATGAAATCGGTATATATAATATATAACCCCAAAATATGGTCTACAATTTGGTTAAACAAGAAAACTTCAAATCATTGTGTTAATTTTGAATTCCTGGTCATATCTCCAATAATTTTTCATTTCTCAGATATGATGTCAATGACAAAAATATTCTACATAAAATTTCACTATAGGTCCACGAACAAAAGAAATCTGTAGCTATAATACAACACCATAAAATATGGCATATAATATGGTATTTAACTCAATAATTAGCAAATAGGGCGTGTTTACATTTGTTTGTTTACATTTACATTATGTTAGGTGTTGCCAACCGCTTTAGATTTATTTGTAGTGGTTCTTATGCATGGGCGTATGACAAATTGGATTAATAATAATTTTTTCTAAGGAAAAAGACCTAAAATTTTAGTAACAATGTTTGTATATAACTTATTTTACATTTTTTCGAATGTTTGGCAACATTTGTCAATTTCTTCTCTAGACTTTAATTCTAGCGTATTGAGGTCAATGAAAAAAAGATTATCCTTCTAATTTTAATAGAAGTTCGCTTTAGGAAAACCCCGCTATATATAATAGATGAGGCTGAAAATTTATCTAAACAAAATGGTTAAGAAAAATATTAGTGTTAACTTTGTACGTTTCAAAATCTGAATTTTTTTCCTTAGAAATTCTTTTTCAGAGCCTCGATGCCAATGGAAAAAATATTCTCCATAAAATTTTATTATGGGTTACCGAACAAATAAAATCGCTATATATAATATATACCAACAAAAAATCGGTTTCAATTTTTGCACGTAATAACATACTTCTTAATGAAGGTTACTTTGATTTAGCGGCCATATCTTCCATAATTTTTAATTTTAGAGGTTTCATAGCATTGAAAAAATTATTCTCCATCAAATTTCACTATGGGTCCTCATTATGAAGAAATCGGTATATATAATATGTGATGCAGAAAATGTCTCTAAACAATATAACAAAATGGCGTATTTTTGATTTTCTTTGTCCCTATCAAAATCGGGCAATATTTCCCTTAGGACCCCATTTAAAAGCCTTGAATTTAAAGAAAAAAAAACATTCTCTATAAAATAGGTCACCGAACAAGAGAAATCGATACTTAGAATATATATCAATAAAAAGTCGGTTGGAATATAGGCACATAAGAATATCCAGATTCTTAAGGGTTCATTTCATCTGGAATGCATATCTCCTATGAATTTTAATTTTAGAGGCTTGATGTCAAGGAGAAAATTACTCTCCATCAAAAATTCTCTCGGTATATGCAATATATATCAATTAAAATTTTAATTTTAGTTATGTACATAAGAAAATACTTCCTCGTAGGGGTTACTTTGATTCGGCGGCCATATCTCTAATAATTATTCATTTTTGAGCTTTGATATTAAAGGAAATTATGTTCTGTATCAAATTTTACTATGGGTCTCCGAACAAACGAAATTGGTACTTAGATTTTATGTCTATAAAAAGTCGGTTCGAATTTGTGCATATAAGGAAATGCTTTTTCGTATCCTTTCTTTTGATTCAGAGGTCATATCTCCTTTAAATTTTTATTTTAGAGATTTAATGTCAATGAGATAATTATTTTCCATCAAATTTCACTATGGGTCCACGAACAAAAGAAATCGGTAACATTAATATAAACGATTAAAATATTGGATACAATATGATACTTAACTCAGTTGCTATTAAAAGGGCGTTTTTACATTAGTTTGTTTACATTCTCTCCATGTTAAGTGTTGCCAATCACCATTAATAACACTGTGGTGACTCTTATGGATTGACGTGTGTCAAATTTGTTAATTAATATAATATATCAATTAAAATTCAAATTCTAGTTATGTACACAAGAAAATATTTCCTCGTAAGGGTTACTTTGAATTGGCGGCCATATCTCTCATTATTACTCATTTTTGAGGTTTGATATTAAAGGAAATTATGTTCTAAATCAAATTTGACCCTGGGTCTCCGAACAAAGGAACTCGATAGCAAGAATATATATCTATAAATAGTAGGTTCGAAGTTGTGTATGTATGGATATACTTCTTCGTAGTGTTTATTCTGATTTAGAGGCTCTATCTCCTATAAATTCTTACTTTATAGGTTTTGTGTCAATGAGAAAATTATTCTTTATCTAATTTCACAATGGGCCTCCGAACAAATGACATCGGTATATATAATATGTATCAGTAAAATTCGTACTCTATTTGTGCACCTAAGAATATACCTGTTTATAGAAATTACTTTGAATTGGTGGCCATATCTCCCATAATTATTCATTTTAGAGATTTGATGTTAAAGAAAATTATATTCTCCATAAAATTCTACTGTAGGCATCCGAACAAATGAAATCTGTATATATACTATATACAAGTAAAAAGTCGGATTTAATTTGTGCACATAATAATATACCTGTTTATAGAAATTACTTTGACTTGGTGGCCTTCTCTCCCATAGTTATTCATTTAAGAGGTTTGATGTTAAAGAAAATTATATTCTTCATAAAATTCTACTATAGGCATCCGAACAAACAAAATCGGTATATATAATATATACCGGTAAAAATCGGATTCCATTTGTGCACATATGGCTATTACATTTTATAGAAATTACTTTGAATTGTTGGCCTTATCTCCCATAATTATTCATTTTAGGGGTTTGATGTTAAAGAAAATTTTATTCTCCATAAAATTTCACTATGGGTCCACGAACAAACGAAATCGGTATATATAATATATACCAGTAAAAAATCGGATTTAACTTGTGTAAGTAATAATAAACAATTTTATAGGTTTTTGTTTGATTTTAAGGCCATATTTCTATTAATTTGTCATTTTGGAGATTCGATGCCAATGAGAAAAATATTCTCCATCAAATTTCCACGAACAAAAGAAATCGGTAACTATAATGCGACACCTTAAAATATGGCTTAAAATATAACGCTTAACTCCATAGCTATCACAAAGGGCGTTTTTACATTCGCTTGTTTACATTAGTGGGTGTATTAAGTGTTGCCAATCGACTTTAATAGGACTGTGGTGATTCTTATGGATTGCCGTGTGTCAAATTGGTTAATAAATATTGCTGTTTTATAAATTTTAACTTAATTTTATACTTTTATTGCATTTTTATTTTTTACAATAAAGAAAATAACAATTATTTATTTTTTTCTTTACAACTATGGTTTTTACTTAATATTTATATATGTATATAATTTTATAGTTTTTTTAACTTAATAACTAAAACAAAAAATAAATTTTGACATTAGAAAAAAATATAATAATAATATTTATATATAAACAAAACAATTAAGTAGTAATACAAACAAATTACAATAATACAAAAAAAGAGATAAAAAATACGAACAGAGATGGGTGGATGAAATGTAATAACGACAAAAAAGGGGGACATATGTGTAGTGTAGAAATGATACTATTGGCGCCCAAGGTAGGGGCATGAATTTTCTTTGACATTTTAAGGGGTTTGGAAATATTTAAAAGAGATAATATGGGGCGTCCAATGGTTGGAAAATTTGTAAAACAAAACTGGGCCTGAAAATGACAATTTTAAAAATTCCTTATTGGCGCCCAAATAAGGGCCATGATTTTTTTTTTTTGACATATTAATGGACTTGAAAATATTCAAAATAGATTATATGTGGCGCCCAACATTAGGAAACATTGAAAGAAAAAAATAATTGGACTGGAAATGGCATTAAATAATTATTTAAAAAAAAATCACAATTGGCGCCCAACGTATACATTATACACAATCACAATAAATGGCGCCGAAATGGTTTTCGGGGTTCATTTGTTACCTAGGCTTGAGACTAAATGATTATTTAAATTACAATTGGCGCCCAACATATAAACAACAACTGACAATAAATGGCTTGACATTAAATGATTATTTAAAAAAAATACAAATGGCGTCCAACGTATAAACAATGTACGGTGACAATAAATGGCGCCCAAATGATTTTCGGGATTCTATTATTAAATCGGGATGCCGATATTTGTTCTATTTAATCATATTAGAGCGCCTACATATAGTATTATTTGTAATGGCGCCCAACGTATATCTCACTTCGAATGTTCACCTTTTTAAATATTTCCAAACCCCAAATTCTATAATTTTTTTACATCTAATTTGTGAACGCAATTTGCGCGTGCGTTATAAATACAAAAATTCTTTTAATACCCTGTCTTCTACCCGCCAAACGACGACTATTCAATCATATTGAACAGCAGACAAGAGAAGATCATGCCAAATATCTGGAAAAATCGGAGAAAATTAGATCGAAATTAGATTTGTTTACAAGATTGAACAAAATCTCTGCCTTACCATCACAATGGCCACCCCGATAGATGTCCCGCCAATCACCGCTGCATGATCGCGTATAAAATTCGAAGTAACATATAGGCAACCCTGATTGTGCAAATTCGTAATGGTGGGGAATATGGTGCACTCCTTACGTTGACCTCCGAAAATCTCTTGACAGCAAGATTCCGGAATCAGACCAAAGCGGTTCCAATCGTGCCAGGTATCAACACCACAGCATTGCAGGCGTTCTTGGGTTTGATCCCAGGCCTGGGTAATGTCACGGCGACTGCCATACAGGGCCATGGAGGAACGCATTTCCTGAAAACAACAATCAAATTTTTAAATTCATATTTTTAAAAAAAAAAATTCTAGATCCTCACCTGTCTCATGGTCTGTTGAACCCGTTCGCGGAAAACATAACCCAATATGCCACCAATTAACATCGTAACAAATACCAGGGCCACCATTATGAAATACTGCAAGAAAACAATAATTCGAAACCCATTAAACATTTTCCTGAGAGTCTCGAGAGAAGATATCCTCCTCTTACCGTCAGCAGCAGGCACTTGACCTCTTTGCCCGCTCCCACACAACCCAAAAACGAAAGCAAACAAATGGCCACCGATGTGACCAGCAGAACATAAACGGCACCAGAAAATAAATTTGTACCAAGCAGCTCATTCATAAAACTACGATCGACCAGAGTCCAGAGACTTAAACAAAAAACTGTGGCACCACCAACCTGAAATGGGAATAATTATAGATTATTATGGAGATTCTAATCGGATTCCCATTACTTACAAAAATCACAAAATTCGATACAAATAAACTGTATTTGACAAACTGCCCGCAGCAGTCCATGCGCGAACTAAAACCCATGCTGTCAGCCTGCAAAGAAAAAATAGAAAATAGTTATTTTTTTTTTAATTGTATGAATTTTCAAATCAGTTTTCAAATGTTGATTTTTCAACATATTATTATTTAAATGTTGAATTTTCAACATATTATTCAAATGTTGAATTTTCAAATTTTTCTTCAAATGTTGAATTTTCAACATTTTTTTGAAAATGTTGAATTTTCAACAATTTTCCAAATGTTGAATTTTCAACAAATTTTTCAAATGTTGAATTTCGATTATTGTTTTTAAATGTTGCATTTTCAACATTTTTTCATAAATCTTGAATTTTCAACACTTTATTGAAATGTTGAATTTTCAACACATTTTCAACATTTTTTCAAATCTTGAATTTTCTACACTTTGTTGAATTTTCAACACTTTGTTGAAATTTTGAATTTTTAACACTTTGTTGAAATGTTGAATTTTCAACACTTTGTTGAAATGTTGAATTTTCAACATTTTGTTGAAATGTTGAATTTTCATTATTTTTTTCAAATGTTGAATTTTCAACGTATTTTGCAAATTTTGAATTTTCATTATTTTTTTCTAATGTTAAATTTTCAACTCTTTATTGAAATGTTGAATTTTCAACTCTTTATTGAAATGTTGAATTTTCAACATTTTGTTGAAATGTTGAATTTTCAACATTTTTCATATCATGAATTTTCTACACTTTTTTGAATTTTAAACACTTTGTTGAAATGTTGAATTATCAACATTTTTTACAAATGTTGAATTTTTAATTTTTTTCAAATGTTGAATTTTCAACACTTTGTTGAAATGTTGAATTTTTAACACTTTGTTGAAATGTTGAATTTTCAACATATTTTTCAGATGTTGAATTTTCAACATATTTTGCAGATGTCGAATTTTCAACATATTTTTCAAAATGTTGAAATTTGTTGAGTTAAGGCTCAGTTAAAAATCCACGCCTTGTTGTAGACCCTTACAAATATTTTTTTTAATTCACGACTTGTGGTAGAGCCTTATAGAACTTAAAAAATAATTTTTATAAAAGCCAGGCCTTCTGATAGACCCTTAAAATAATTTAAAAACAAATCCAGGCCTTCTGCTAGACTCTTAAAATTATTTTTTACAAAATCCAGGCCTTCTGGTAGCCCCTAAAACAATGTCGAGTTTTCATCATAAAAATCCACGCCTTGTGGTAGAGCCTTTAAAAAATCCACGCCTTGTGGTAGAGCCTTTAAAAAATCCACGCCTTGTGGTAGAGCCTTTAAAAAATCCACGCCTTGTGGTAGAGCCTTTAAAAAATCCACGCCTTGTGGTAGAGCCTTTAAAAAATCCACAACTTGTGATAGACCCTTAAAATAATGTTTAAGAAATCCACACGGAAGAGCCTTAAAAATAATTTTTTTTTAATTTAAAATGCACGACTCGAAAAATCTATTTTTTTTAATCCTCAAAATATATTTTTAAGTAATCCAGCGCTTGAAATTTTCCTTTGGAATTTATATTTCATTGTTAACAATTTGCCTAGAAGTATGCTACAATTTTTGGCTTGGCTCTATTGCAAGCGCATGCCTTCCTAAGAAATCATGTTCGTTGCTTAAGTCTTTTGTTTAATTATGGGAATATTTGTCAAATGCATTATTATTGTGATGAAAATTAATTAAAAAAATTAAAAATTTGAATAATATTCAAATAAATTATTTTTGGGATCGATAAAAAATAAGAATAAAAACTCTTTTCTTCTTTTGGATCGAATATAATTAAAAAAAGGCTTTCTATTAAAAAAATATTTCATTGCTTTTTAAAAAATATATTTTGTTGTTGTTTAAAAAAAATCCTCACTGTTTCACTTGAGTACTATATTAATTTATTGCCTTTCTAATGATCATCGATGTGGTATATGATTTTCAATTTTATTTTTTATATATAACAAACATTCAAACAATATTGAATCATAACTTCCTAGGTCACTGTCATTTGTCAATGCAATTGAGTTTTAAAAAACAACATTTCTGGAAATAAATGTTGAAATATCAACATATTGATCACATGGCAACCAAGTAAACCAAAAAAGTAGTAAAAAAATAATTTTAAATCATTCTAATGGTTATTTATTTAAGCAGTATTGAATGTAGGTGATCAGCGGAATTTATGTTTGAAATAAAAAACCCAAACACATTACTTGATATAAAAAAATATTTCATTGATTTAATTTCCCGAACAATTGTTGTCCATTAGCCATTAGCAATGTTTTTTTTTCAAATATGATTCATTGTAAAACGCACACACACACACACAGTCATAAATATTTCCAATATATCACACTCAACGTTACCTTGATCACATACATTCGTATATAGGTATGTGATACAATTTTTTTTTTGTTTTGCTTTCGATTAAATTCACTGTGTGGCCTTTAAGTGGTCTGTCAGACCGCTGTCTATCTCAAAGTGTATCACAAAAAAAAACAAAAATTAGTTACGCCAAAAAATAAATAAAACTCAAAATTGCCACTTTATTTTTTGCTCATTTGAACAATAAATTCAAATTAATTGCACATAAATTTGCCATTGTTTGTGTTTTAATTAGATTTGTTTTGAAAAAAAAGATTCCCTTAGTGTTGTCAGTCAAGCAACTGATAATATTTCTAATGAATGGTTTTGTTCCCAAAATACATTTCCCTTCAGATATTTTTTTCTCCAATTATTTTCACTGTTATTGTTAAATATGAACGTTCTCAGATAAATGATTTGAATACAATTGATAATATTGGGAAAAAAATATTCTTTATAGGAAAGAAAAAACTGAACATATTTTTGAACAAAAAAAAATTATTACATTCCTAATTTATATTCCCAAATTTAAAAACAAAAAAAAAAAATATATTAAAAAAAAAAATTTTCTAAAAAATACTTCAAAAGGGTTGTTAAAAAATTTTGGATTTTATAATCTTTCCAAAAATGATATTTTTTTAAGTCCTCATATGATTTATTGAATTTTTTAAATATTTTTTTTTTTAAATTTTCTTTCATATTTTTCCCACAAAAATAATGAATTAACCAAATAATCCCATTAAATCACAAAAGACTTAAGAAACGTACATGATTTCTTTGATGTGAGACCCTTTATAAAGCTAAACCAAAATTAAAGCATACTTCTAGGCAAATAATGGATACCAACACAAAAGACTTAAGAAACGAACATGATTTCCATTAACGAGAGGCCCCTTATAAAGATGAACCAAAATTAAAGCATACTTCTAGGCAAATTATGGATACCTAACGGGTGGGAAAGTAAAATACATTTTACCGGCGTGGATTTATTAAAAATTCATTTTGGGACATAGCAAGAGGCGTGGATTTATTAAAAATTCATTTTGGGACATAGCAAGAGGCGTGGATTTATTAAAAATTCATTTTGGGACATAGCAAGAGGCGTGGATTTATTAAAAATTCATTTTGGGACATAGCAAGAGGCGTGGATTTATTAAAAATTCATTTTGGGACATAGCAAGAGGCGTGGATTTATTAAAAATTCATTTTGGGACATAGCAAGAGGCGTGGATTTATTAAAAATTCATTTTGGGACATAGCAAGAGGCGTGGATTTATTAAAAATTCATTTTGGGACATAGCAAGAGGCGTGGATTTATTAAAAATTCATTTTGGGACATAGCAAGAGGCGTGGATTTATTAAAAATTCATTTTGGGACATAGCAAGAGGCGTGGATTTATTAAAAATTCATTTTGGGACATAGCAAGAGGCGTGGATTTATTAAAAATTCATTTTGGGACATAGCAAGAGGCGTGGATTTATTAAAAATTCATTTTGGGACATAGCAAGAGGCGTAGATTTTTTAAAAATTCATTTTGGGACATAGCAAGAGGCGTGGATTTATTAAAAATTCATTTTGGGACATAGCAAGAGGCGTGGATTTATTAAAAATTCATTTTGGGACATAGCAAGAGGCGTGGATTTATTAAAAATTCATTTTGGGACATAGCAAGAAAATTCAAAAATACCAATAAATTATTTAAAATTAATGGCCTACTTATACACTCATAACAGTACCGATATTTTCAGGGTATATATTGTAGTTACTGACTGCATTTGTTCAGGGACCCCTGCTGGAATTTTCTGCGGATCATTTTTCTCCCTAATACTTTGCCCCTTAAATGAAGTATTTTTGGAATTGACGAGCCGAATTCAAAAATACCCAATAATTTATTTGAAAATAATTTTCTACTTCTACTGTCCATAATGTCAACGATATTTGCGGGATATATGATATAGCTACCTATCTCATTTGTTCAGTGGCCCCTATTGAAATCTTCTAGAGAACATAATTCTCCTTGGCACCACTCCCGCACACGATGTATTATTGGAAACATTGGCCCAAAAAAAAATACCAATGAATTATTTGAAAATAATTACCTACTTATATACCCATAAAAGCGCCAGTATTTTCGGGATATAGGTTATAATTATCGATTTCATTTGTTCTGTGGTCCCTACTGGAATTTTCTGCGGAACATTTTTCTCCTTAATACCTTCCCCCTTAAATGAAGCTGTATTGGAAATATTGAACCAAATTCAAAAAATACCAATAAATTAAAAGAAAATAATATCGTACTTGTATATCGATAATAAAACCGATATTTTCACGATATAGGTTATATCTACCGATTTTATTTCTTTGGCGGCCCCTATTGGAATTTTCTAGAGAACATAATTTTCCTTGACACCACCCCCCTCACATGAAGTATTATTGGATGTATTGGCCCAAAATCCAAAAAAATACCAATAAATTATAATTTATTTATTATTACCCCCCTCAATGCCCATAATGCCATCGATATTTTAGGGATATAGGTTACAGTTATCGATTTTATTTCTTCGGCGGCCCCTATTGAAATCTTCAAGAGAACATAATTCCTCTTGGCACCACCACCCACATATGAAGTAGTATTGGATGTATTGGCCCAAAATCAAAAAGAATACCAATAAATTATTTGAAAATA